AAGACCACACCAAGGGCTACCCCTGTCAGCTACAAACTCAAAACAGTGGCTCAAACAGTTAGTTGGTGGTGCTAAAATTGCTCATATCTGCAGCAACTGCATGACACTATCATGTCACTATGAACCAAATCTCTGATGTTTCTGTCACATAGTTCAGTCAGCCATGAAGTAGCCCAACACAATACAAGTAAGGTATAACTAAAGTGGCCAGTGAGTGAATATTTGACGCTGGGTAATCAGACTGCTGTGGGGTTGTCCAACATTTGGCGACTACAGATGCAAATCAGCTTTAATCTGCATCTGCCAAAGTAAATATAATGTTTTGATCAGTACATTTAGTGCATTGGTGAACCCTATTGCAGTGATATCATTACTACACCATTTTGCACACATTTAACAACACTATACTGATAGCAAACAAATATTCTCAATGGTGTAATGATTTTTTTAAAAGGAGCTTTTAGTGACTAATGTAACCGTCACTGTACTTGACATTATAATTGCAGTGGAGATGTTAAATCACTCGCGCACATAATAAAACTTTCTGTCACGGACTGGAGGAACTTGTAGTCTGCAATGTAAACTCACTATGAGGATAGTATTTTCCACTCAGAGAGGTTTCTGGACCCAGATCATCTCTAAAGTGCTTCATTTTTACATTGTCTTACAATCAACATCATTCTAATGAAAAACAGGGTTACTGAAAGGTCTGCCCAACATGAGAGCTAGCAGTTTTCTTTCCTCTCAAGCAGTGCTGCTACCATTTCCTGAGGATATGTTGGACTTTCTGCTGTAATCAGTCACAGGCAAAGACTCTCATCCCAAAGTTGTGTGGATTATGAGAGTGTCAGGATGACCTTTGAGAGAGCAAGCGAGGCAATGAGTAACACTCAGGGAAGGCAGTGCAGTGTGGACAGGCAAATTACAGCGAGGTTTTACATGGTTCGTACCGTGCACTGAACTTCATCATTAAAATTTTGCTAACTTTTTAAAGGAATGCCATCTTATTATACTTTACAATGTTTGAATTATTAATATCCAAGAAGGAAGGACTCAGTCTGGGAAAACATGAACCATAGCCCTGGCAGAACAACAACAACATGCAATCTCAAGTAATTTTTTAAATGTCATTCTTCTGATTGCCGACCGTTAAACAGTTTGTAAATATACAGAGAGTGTTGAGAGTGAGCTTGAAAAGGCATCAGATGAGAAAATCCTTATATGTGCTCTCAATGGAGGCAATGGTTTGCCATTTTTAGATAGCCGATAGATATCACAGGGTTAAACTAAAACATATTAAGTTTAACATAATGTAGTGTAGTGGTTTGCACATTTGCTTAAAAAATGACATGATATATTTACTGTTGAAAACAGACTATTTCTTATCCGGTTAAATCGCTGTTAGATCTTGTGCATCAGGGCACCTGCTATTAAATACTGGTCTCCTAATGTA